AGCCTGAGACAGTGATTCAAAGGAGTTAAGCTATTGCAAAGATTTTTAAGGAAGGAGAGGTGAAAAGGAGAGAATAAGAGAGAGGGAATGAATGCCTGTTTACCCAGATGAGTGATGCCAGCTCTGTAGGGAACGGGTTCAGTAGATTTGCCAGTAGAGAGACTATTTGTAAAGTCACTCAAACATGCTGCTGATTTGATGAACTCTCTCTAGGAGGCATAATTTTCTGACGGATATATTTTGATGGACAGCTTTCTTATGATGGGTCTATGGCAGCCTCTCCCAAAGCGATGCTCCTGAGATATGCTAACCTGGCTGTAGGATGATGGGAATGGTAGACCAAAAAGCTTGGAGGACACTAGGAAGCTTATCGTACAAGCAATTAAATCGGCTTACCTGAGCCGGCTTAAAATTTAAAACGAGCGGGGATGGAGCCGGGTGGCAGATTCGGCAGCAAAATCACTGTGATAGTATCAGGATGCTGCCCGAATTAAAATTTAGGCCGGGAGAGGTAAGACGGTTTTATAAGTGGTGCAATAAGATCCTAAAGCAGAATAGAGCATTACAATTACTTCCCTTGATCTAGACCAAGGGTCTCCAAACTACGGCCCATGGGCCAGACCCGGCCCATCGAGGCGTTCCTACCGGCTTGCGGCCGGTCCGGCCACTGCTGCTGCCGCCAGACACCATTTTGCCTTCCAAAATAGTGTCCAGAGTCATGCGCATGCACCCGGTGTTGTGCGTGCATGCGCCCGCCGCTGGACGCCATTTTGTCTTCTCATTGCCTCTGCTACTAGAGAGTTCATGGAGCTGTCCTAACTATTAGACACTGATTGTTTCCTTCTCCATGTATCATCCAATCCCTTTTAAAAACCAACTAACTTGGCAGCCATTATGACTACATCTTGTAAACACTGAACTTTAGAGTTTTAATCAAACACTGCAGAAATAAGTACCTCTTTTTTTATACTGTACTCTCCCTATAGTATGTATTGGCAGTGGAAATGGATCCTACACTACACTGGGGGGCAATGGCCCTGTTTAAAGGGTGCAGTACAGCGATGTATGGTACTGCCCTGTGCCAGATCTGGCCATAGTTCAAGGCTTCCCCGAGAGTTTGTTGTTGTTGTTTTGTGCAAACACTGATACATGTTACTGTTACAAGATAAACTTTGTTGATAGTAAATGATGTAGCTGATGGTACACAGCCGAGCAACATTTTAGCCCTTTTCCTAAAGGGCCCAACATCCTTGCACAGCCAATGGTAGAACTGGGTCCCAAACAAAATCTGTTTTACCTAGGAGATCATTGTATTACAAATAACACGACTTATCCCTGACAGGATACAGTTGCATTTTGGATTAATAGCTGATATTATCACATTCATAGAATCATAGAATCATAGAGTTGGAAGAGACCACAAGGGCCATCCAGTCCATGCCCCTGCTATTCAAATCACTGCTGCCGCCGCTGGGCAACTACAACCTGGCTGCAGCCCGGGGCCCATTTATCCAGCCTCTTTTGAAAAATAGGATTAATCCTCTGTCATCCCACTTTCCCAGTTACTTTAAAAATGTCCCAGTTTCTCTCCCTTTCTTCCCCTTTCCCCTAGTCCTCAGCTTATTTCAATTGCTGCAAAATTAGTTCAAAGTAGTTTGCACTCAATTTACTCCAAAGAGGTAGAGTAGAGGGTTGAAGCTTGCCCTTTCCTGGAGACTCAGGCAAAAGCAAACTAGTTGGTGTGCTCTTTCTCCTTCTTAACTTCTCCCCAAATGACCACGCTTTGGTGTTGCTTGACCACTCGTGTCTCTGTTTGCATCTGTGAAATACTGGAAGATATGTTTGGTCTAAGAGAGCCAGCGTAGTGCAGTGCTCTGAGCATTAGGCTAAGACCCTGGGGACCAGGGTTCGATTCCCACCTCAGCCATGAAACCCACTGGGTGACTTTGGGCAAGTCACACTCTCTCATCCTCGGGGAAAGCAACGGCAAAGCCCCTCTGAACAAATCTTGCCAAGAAAACCCTGTGATAGATTCACCTTAGGGTTGCCGCAAGCTGGAAACACCTTGAAGGCACACAACAACAAATGTTTGGAAAGGGGCTTTGTTGGTTGGTATTGCTGGAGTGTGGTGGGCCTTAGCAGATGCCTAGTGATGCCCTCCCCTGATGGAAGCCTTGTTTCTTGGTTCACATCTTCCTGGGCAGAGCGAGGGCAGCATGCTTGCCTTCCCTACTGCGTCTTTGTTAGCTGCTGATGACTTCTTTCGTGGATCATTAACTTGGATGAAACAACAAGCTGCATCTGTCTTACACTCATTCATGTGAAGGTCTGGGGAAAGCCCACAGCAGTGACCGTGTTATTCCAAGTTTGCAAGCAGCTAAATGGTGTTTGTTCTGATACTCATCTTGAGACTTCTTTTCCTTCTTTGACTGTGCAATGTGTGCTGTGTTTAAAGGTTAAATAAACCAGTATAAAAATGCCCAAGATATATCATTGCTATAGCTTTGTAAGGGGCTTTGAACTGTAATTGTTCTCTTCTCCTCCTGTAAGGGTTGCACATCAGGAGTTTATTTCCTTTTTTTAAAGGGAGAGGGAGTATGAGAACCAGACTTGATTCAGCAGTCCTGTTGAACTTGGATAAGTTAACTTTGGCTGCATCTGCACGGCAGAAATAATCCCGTTTGATACCACTTTAACTGCTATGGCTCAATGCTATGGGATTCTTGGGAACTGTAATTTTGTGAGACCTTTTACCATCTCTATCAGAGAGCTCTGGTGCTATAACAAACTATAGTTCCCAGAATTCCATAGCACTGAACCATAGCAATTAAAGTGGTGTCAAGCTGGATTATTTTTGCAGTCCGGATGCAGCATTCTTAGACTATCTTGTTATTGTTTGCTGTCACCTTGGCTTCAACTTAATGGCGACCCTCAGAGTGATTAATGGCCCTACTCAGATCTTGCAAACTCAGTGTTATCCTTCCTTCATTGGGTCAATCCATCTTTAGTGAGATCTTCCACTTTTCCCAGCATTATTGTCTTTTGCAAAGTTTCTTGCAGGGTTTTTCTTATTATATTTCCCAAGTATGATAGCCTTATTTTAGTCATTTTGGCTTCTAGTGAGAATTCAAGCTTGCGCAGAGGCTGCATCTGCACTGCAGAAATAATGCACTTTCACTGCTATGGCTCTATGCTATGGAATTCTGGGACTGTAGTTTGTTGTGGCACTAGGACTCTTTGAGAAGGCTACATATCTCACAAAACTACAAATGCCAGAATTCCATAGCATGGAGCCATGGCAGTTTAAGCAATGTCAAACCGCATTAATTCTGCAGTGCAGATGCAGCCTAAGGACATTATCACACGCAGGACGGGACATCATTGTCCCATCCCTGTCCCGTGCTTCTCATGTCATCACGGGAAGGTCTTTCACACTAAACCGCGCTTATCCGGACATTGTCCCATCCAGAAAGTATGAGTGATAGTGATTGTGTGAAAGGCTTTCTCAAGAAGTGGAATTGTCCCCTCATTTCTCATCATTTTGTATTAACGGAAGATCCTGTTAATATAATTCCACTTTATTGACAGGACATGACAGGATCAGTGCAATGTAGTGAGAAAGCCTTTCGCATGATCACTTTCACTCACGCTTTCCAGGCGGGATAAGGACACCCGTCCCCAAGTGATAATGTCCAGTGACACATTTATTTGTCTTTTGGGCAGCCCCTAGTGACTGTAGGTCCGATGTACAATGTGAGTGTGGCAGAAGCGTAAAATCCTGTGCGTCATCCAGTTGTCATCATCAGAGATTTGACATCTGCTCCAGCTTCAATCCTCAGTCGTAGCGTTGAGCCAGGCCCCAAAGGACAGTCTAAAAATGTTGTCAGTGTCAATCCATATCAACAAGCCTATGCCAGGATAAAAATCTAGGTTCATCTCCTAGGAGCAGATCTTTTGTAAAGCGGACAACATTGACTTCATTTAAGCACCAAGGTAAACCTTGGCTGATCATCAAGACATCGGGGCCTCATTATTTCAGCCCAAGTGCTATTATCCAGTATACCCTTGGGCATTTGGTCCCAGGAGCCCCCATGGATAACAAAATCCGTGGTTGCTCAAGTCCCATTATATACAATGGCATAGTAAAATGGTGCCCCTTATATAAAATGGCAAAAATGAAGCTTTGCTTTTTGGATATTTTTTAAAAATATTTTCAACCATTGTGGATGGTTGAAGCCATGGATGCAGAACCTGTGCTGACTGTATATAGTTAAAAAAAAAAAACCACCCTTAAATCTCTTTTTAAAACTCACATTGATTAATACATTTTTTTGCTTGTTTAAATTATTTTACTATTTTTAATTGCTTGATCTGTTTTAATGCTATTTGTATGCTACCCTAAGCTAGGGCAAGAATAATTATATTAAAATAGCAAATAACTTTCATTACAGGTGACTCCTTTTCTCCCATCTCCTCCCTTCCCTCTTGTTAAAACCACCTAAATCTTAGCTTTTAATGCACAATGTCTCATGCTCACCTATTAATTCCCACATAAATAAGCCTTTCTTACTCATCCCTTCAAATTGTTCCCAGCAAGAAAATTGGCCTTTTATTTAAATTTCAGAATTGGTTTCAGGGCTGTGACTGTGGCTTTGGGGACCAAGGCGGAAGAAGCCAATTTGGCGTTGACCTCTGCAAGGATTTATAGTGTCATTCCCCACAATGTTGTGCAGGCTTTTTTTGGGGGGCATGTGTGTAGGTGTGCGAAGCGCCATGGCTATATATCATTAGCAGAAAAATCAAAGCAGTGCTTAATCATGAATAACATTATCCTTTTTCTGCAAAGTCTGCAGTATTATGAATCATTGGCTCCTAAACTGATGTCTGAACAAAGCTGTTCAGACCTACCTCCCCGCCGCTTAACACACCGTCATTCACTTCTTCTTTTACAATGCTGGTAAAAACTGGCATATTCTCTCTGTGTAGGCTACTTCACTGCATGAGTAGTCCCAATAAATTCTTGAACAGGGTAGGATTTTATTTGGCATGAGCGATGCCGGTTGTATCTTGAGATGTTATACCTCTTTGACAATTCTGGGGAGGTTGAAAACAATTTTAACTGCTTTCCCCACAAGAAACATCAAACACACACATACACACACATAGAGTATATTTAGGGAATCTGCAGACTCACAGCCATTTGCTAACTTCATAAGACCGCTCTAGAAATTATTTCCCAATGTTGCCATCTAATTCCACCTTTCAAATGCAATCCTGTGCAAATTCTGGGCTTCCCTCTGGCTAGAATTGGTCTTCATGTCCCTCCAGATGTTTTTTTACACATCTTCAGAAGGTACAGTGTTTCCTGTGATGTGTACCCTTCAACATTTCACAGATGAAAACTGTTGTGGCCAAGCAATATCAAAGTGTGGCCAAGAAAGCAAAAGCTATGAACGAGGAATTACACACAAGCACAAAGATAGGCTGTAGCAGTTTGGTTTTGCGGGAGCCTCCTGGGAAAGGGAAGAGTCTGTATCCTCCTCTTCACTGCTGAGCAACTGAGGGCAAACCATTTTTGCACTTTGAACTCAGTTTGCAGCGATTGAAATAAGCTGAGAACAAAGTGCAGAAGTGGGAGGAGGGGAGGGAAACTGGGACATTTTAAAAACAGCTGAGAAAGTGGGAAGGTAGAGGATTGATTATGATTGTTTCTGCCAAATCAGAACCATTGGTTTATATATTTGGAGACTGAAGGAAAATTTCATGGTGGGGGCAGAATTCATTTGGGGGGAAAATTCTCTTATTTTGTCCCCCCACCCCCACCCCACCATAGCTACATTCCTGTTTATTAGATTCCAAGTATAAGCCTTTGTTGGCAAACTGAATGAAATGGATCTGAACCTATTCAAAGCTGGTTAAGCCAAATCATTAACAAAAAATAAAATAAAAATCAGAACTGATTGAGAAAGCTGGGAAATAATGGTAAACCTAAGCAGGTACTGAACCAGATTCTTTAAAAGCTCAGCTAACAAGCAATTATGTGCAAATGTATTCAGTTTTCATAATGCATACAGGTTGCAGGCCACCTAGGTTATGTTGTTAGAGGATTCTCATTTATTTATTTAAAAAATCAGAGTGTACCCAGAATCTGCCAGTGAGGGACACCTTAAGGCCAGCTTGGTTAATGCTAAATAAAAATGGCTATAAATGTGTTGGTTCTGCAGCACTGCTGGGCCAAGATGCTGGCTTTGTTATCTTCTACAACCATTCTTAGTAATATCCCACAAATCTCCAGAGAGGCTGTGATAAGAAATGGGTTTATTTGCTGAGGAGCGATACTATGGGAGTGTGACATGTAATGATTGGGGGCGGGAAAGATAGAAGAGGAAGAGTTTTGGGGCTTGGCCTCCTCTTCGAACTTCCGAAGTTATGTTTCTGAAAAACTTTTGATAGTAAAAAAGGACATTCCCAGTTTTGAGATGGGATCAGGAAGTGGAGCCTAGCAGATTCAGATGGCTCAGGGAGTAGCAGCACTTGGAAGAGAGAATTACAAATAGCATATTTACCTGTAACAAGTTACATTTCTTGGTAATGAGAGCACAGGGAGAATAAATACTTTATTGGGTAAATGCAGGAAGGGTTCTCAGGTCAGGATGAGGGTTGCTAAAGTAAAATCTGGCAGTGGCTCCTGTACCTTTGATGGCTGTGTTGAAGAGGGAATTTCAGCAGGTTTTGCTTGCCATGCAACCAGTAAGTTTTATCACACGGCACTTGCAGGAATGGGAACGGAATGGAATGAAACAGCACGGAACGGGGTGAGAATACATGTTACGGCACAGGAGAACGCCGCCGATGCTGCCGGGAGTCCCCAAGCCGTTCCCCAACCATTCCTGGCAGCCAATTTTGAAGAACGGTTCAAAATCATTC